ATCCACAGGGGCAGCTTTGCTTTGTCCGATAGGGTTGCTGAGTCAGAATGAACGCGAAGGCAGCTGATTGGTTGGGTGTGGTTTGATGTATATATTAGTGAGACTACAAGCCATGCGACTATGCAGAAAGACCGCAAACCACAGTAGTTTAAATATGAATGTATGTCTCTGTTGGTGGGTGGGCTCAGCCACAGCATCACCAGAATTTCCATCTCAGAGTCACAGGTGACTGACCCACTTTTCATTATCTCCCTCCAAGACAATTCCAAATTCACAAAAATACTACCAGGGTGGATATGGGCCTTGCATTGCATTCATATTCCTTCTCAAGAGCATTCATTAACTGAATGCTGAACTGTCAACTTGGGCATAGATCAGGAGGGATAAACATATGCATCTGACATGTCTTCCCCCCAGGATTTCAACTAATTGTGGAAATAATGAATAACTCTAACAGAAAGAACAGCAAGCCTACCACTTGTACCATACTTCAGCATAAAAATATGCACCTTCATGTGTATAAAAACGACATATTTTGTGTTATACAGGGTTCTCTAGAGAAACAAAACCAGGACACTTATGATTATATATAGATAGATATAGATGGATATATACAGCATAAAGGAATACATACAGCTGAGTAGTCCACACAGCAGTACAGAGGGCTCAGTTCAACTCATTTCCGTGGAACAGTTAATATACTGGAAGTCCTTCAACTCAGAGGGCTACTGGATCCAAGGTCAAGAAAACAGACAGCTGAGTCTTCTGTAGCCCAATGCAGGAAGTCCGGCCACAAGCAGCAAACAGCAGGGTGGGTCACCAACAGTCAGCAGCTCAGGAGCTTAGTGAAGCAGACCCGGATGGAATATCGAACTCAAGCAATGCAAGACAATAGGATCGGACAGCCTCAAGCTCAAGCAATGTATACACCAGCAGGTCTTGAAGGAACCTCAAGCTCTAGCAACATGATCCACAGGTTGGCTGTCCCATAGGTAGTATAGCTCACAAGTTGAGGCAGAGAGCTAGCTAAAGCAGCTGCATGCTGGACCAATCACCAGAGAACGAGAAAAAAGGGGCAGGGCTTGCTGAACCATTTATCTCTTTGCCTTCCAAACTGCAACCTTATTAATCCCACATGTTCCTATTGGCCAGGTTGGCATAATAAGCCTACCTATCACATATTTGTCTGTTTTGATTTCTATATTACATATAAATAAAGTCCTGAAGTGAGCAATACATCAAAAATGTTGTTCAATGTTAACTATTTGAATTGTTAAGGATTCGAATTATTTTTTATGTTACTTTGGTTTATTCCTATATTTCTGTATCTTCCCGAATGGTCATGTATTACTTATCAACCATAAGAAAATGATGAGGTATTAAATTTTAGTGTCTAACACATCTTATTGTTGTAAATGTACACATAGCAAAAGACTTGCCATTTTAACAATGTGCACATATACTATTCCCTGATGTCAATTACATTCATCTCTGTTCTTCAGCCATTACCACTGTTGATTTCCAAATCTCCTCTTCACCTTTAACAGAAGCTCGGTGTCTTCACTTCCCCCTTTCACCCCAATCCCCCCCAAGCAAGAGTTGCCCTGTTCTCCTCCTTCCCAGCACCCATCATCACCTCTGCCTCACGCAGGTCTCTTTAGACTTGCCTGTTCTAGATGATTCCTGTAAGTGGGATCATAGAGTATTTGCCCTTTTGTGACTGATTTATTCCACTCAGCATGATGTCTTAAAATTGGTCCATCTTGTAGCTTGTACCGAGACTTTGTTTCTCTTTATTGTGCAAATCACATTGTATCTATCCATCCAGCTGTCTGTCCAGGGGCATTTAGCTTCTTTCCATGAGTCTCTCTGTATGCAGTGGGCCCTCACAATCACCCTGCATGGTCAGTAATGAATACCAATGTTGAAGATGGCAAAAACAGAGGAGACAGCTATGTACATAACTCTAGCATAGAGTTTAACTCTAGTAGAGAATTAAATTAAGGGCCAAAAGTTTGCACGATGCAGCCTAGAATGGGTTGCAAAGGGCAAAACCAAGAGCAAAGTAAAGACTTCCCAGAAAAAAAGGAGAGTCAGTAGGGCATCGATGAAGAGAACGTGTACAGATCCTGGGGCTTAGGGTTACAGTGTGCTGTGGCTGTTTTACTTTAATCTGTCTCCATTTTGTCACACTCAAAGACAGAATGCACAGCGGTTAACTTTGGGTTTAGGACCAGCCTCTCTGTGAGTGTCATTTCCATCTCTGCCTAGCTAGTTAGTCTGGAAAAGTGACTTAGGGACTTAGGCCTCTGGTAGCCCAATTGTAAAATGAGACAAATGCTATTAGCCTGCTGTAAGGATTAAATGAGTTGAGCTGTGTCAAGTCTTCTAGCCATTCCTGGGACATAGTGAGTCCTCAGTATGTGGTAGCTGATGTCATCCTCCTCATTATCAGCACTCTTACGGTGCCGAGCTGATGAGGTAAATGAGGACACATAACTGGGTACCTTGGCTTTCAGGGAGAAAGTTGCTTTGTCCCGCCATTGATGGAGCTCAAGGAGCTGAGTGGTGCTGCGGGTAAGCATTGGGCTGCAACCCCAAGGTCGGCAGTTCAAACCCTCCTCTACCCTATGGGGAAAAGATGATGCTGTGCTCATCTTTTACAGTCCCAGAAATCATAGGGTGCAGTCCTATTCTGTCTTATGAGCTGTAATCGACTCAGTGCATTGGGAATATTAAATATGACATGTATGTAATTTAGAGAATGAGGTTTATTAATGATGGATGAATTCTTAGTCATTTGTACAAGTATTACTGTATGATCAAGCTATTTAAAAGTACCCCTTCTTTACCCCAAGCCAACCCCTGCCTCCATTATTATTTTTGGGGGGGTATATCTAGAAATTGTATTTAAGTGCACATTAATACAAACCAAAAACACGCTGCCATCAAAGTCACCAGACTCAAATAACACTGTAGGGCGGGGAGACTGCCCCTGTGGGTTTCAGAGACGAACTTGGTTTCTAATTGAAAATTTTCCCAACAGTTTTATTGGCAAGTAATTTGCATACCGTATAATTCAACAGTTTAGTCATTCAGTCATATCAAGGAGAATTGTACAATCACCCCTGCATTAATTTTAGAGCATTCCCCACCCCCATGGTTAAATAACCTTTTTTTTTTGCTGTCCATTGTTCTTTAATATTTTTTGCCAGAACCACAATTAAAATGTATCAATTCTTCTTTATTCAGTGTCCAATTTTTTAAATCATTTTATTAGGGGCTCATACAACTCTTATCCAATCCATACACACATCAATTGTGTAAAGCACATTTGTGCATTCATTGCCCTCATCATTCTCAAAACATTTGCTCTCCACTTAAGCCCCTGGCATTAGGTCTTCATTTTTCCTCTCCCTCCCTGCTCCCCACTCCCTCATGAGCCCTTGATAGTTTATAAATTGGTATTTTGTCATAGCTTGCCCTATCCGACGTCTCCCTTCACCCACTTTTCTGTTGTCCATCCCCCAGGGAGGAGATCACATATAGTTCCTTGTAATCGGTTCCCTCTTTCCAACCCACTCTCCCTCTACCCTCCCAGTATCTCCACTCACCCCACTGGTCCTGAAGGGATCATTTGCCCTGGTTTCCCTGTATTTCCAGTTCCTATCTGTACCAGTGTAAATCACCTTTAAGATGAGTTATGTAATCCCAATCCATCGCAGTGCTCCCTCCTTGCTCCTGCCTTCATTGTTTACTCCTGAAATCCCCTTTCCCTCCCTATCCTCTACCCCCACCCTTGCATTCCCTATGGCCCCTCGTATCAGTTATTCACATATGCATCCACTCCTCCTGGGAGACCCAACAGAAAACAAGAAAAAACAAAATTGTGCTCAGGGGGTAAGGATAAAAAGTATAATAGTATACAGACAAAAATAAAACTTAATGCATAAGATAAGTAAAAGACCCCCACAACATTCAAAAAGCCAGGGAAGAAATTTCTGTCACGCAGGAGCTACTCGTACCCAGGACAAATTCAGGTCGTGCCTATAGGGTGGTCAATTGGCTAAGTGTCAAGTTCAATCCAGCATCATCAAGATTACAGTGGTCTCTGCCTGAGAGTAAGGCTGTTGAGACTCTTGCCTGCAGCTAGAGTGGATCTGCCAGGGGCTCAGTCTGAGGAGATGCGCTCAGATAGGTGGGGGCACCCACCGTCCCCATAGCCCTCCACACATTGTCCATAAATTGTGCTCTGATGCTTTTCGCCTCACCATATTTGAAGTTTGTGATTGTCATCTTTGGCGCACAGGTTGGTGTACTTCTTCCGGGTGGACTTAGTTGACCCCTCACTTAGATAGCTGCTGGTTTGATTACAAGCCTTTAAGACCCCAGACACTATTCCTATGGATAGCCAGCCGCCTGCCCCCGTTATTGAGTCAACTTCCTATCTATGTTGTGAGGGTTAAATTCCTGAGGCTTGGCATGGGCCTGAGCGCTCCTAGTGAAATAAGATGTACACCCGTGCTTCACTGCCTCCTAGTCAAGTTGTGAAACGATTGAGTCCTAGCGCTTCTTCCTGAACACTGGTGAGTCCGTGAATGGGACCGTTGAGGTAGCTTCTACCAGTTGGCCTCCAGGCCTATTGATACCGTGAAATCGATGGTATGCACCCTGCTTTGTGGAGTCTCTTGAGGAGAATGCTGTCAAAACTGGTTGCTTTGCAGAAATATGACCGTGTGACCGCGGGGGGCCGGGGTCGAAAAAAATACCAGACGCCACCCCATTCTAGAAGGAACCTGAAAAATCACTAGTTTGGTTTAGAAAACGACCCAGAGAAAAATGCACGATGGGGTAAAAATTGCTTCAATGTCCCGTCACAGATCACACGGTGAGATGATCGGAACCCAAAACCTCTGGAAGAAAGAGTTCATCATGAACACAGCTTGCCCTGCTTCCTTCCCAAAGCATCTAAAATCTATTTTCCTGTGCATTTTTTTCAGACTCCCTGGTTGTGGAATACAAGACACTGCTGGTACAACTACCCCTATCAGGTAAAGAAATATGGTTGTCTAATGTGGTTTGCGGATGTTGCTGTTTTTGACATGTAGCCTGTCTTCCTTGGATCAAGTTCAGGCTTTCGGCAAGTCCCACCTGTTGCACAGCTGCTTTGCTACTGGCTCCCCCTGCTGACCAATGCCTAGCCCCAGTGAGGAAGCGCGGCTCTGTGTTCACAGTGAAGTTCAATACCTACGCCCAGTTGCCTTCATAGATGAAGTATGTTTGGAAGGTACCTCTGCTAGAGGGCAGGATTCAATCATTGCAACAGGTGGGGTACTCCTGTTTCTAACAACTGATCCGTTTAATGTCCAGTTCTTGAGCAAAGTCTTCAGACCTGATGACAGAAGAAGCCTGTCAACAGCAAGTGTAGGCAGCTCAAATGTGCACCTGGAGCAGGCAGGCTAAGGTCATTTCTTTGTGTGGCTCAGGGGCAGGCTCAAAATGTATGAATCAATCACTATTTCTGCGAACTCCGAAAACTGGACTTCTTCCATTGCCCAGGAATACGTCATTCCTTCCATGAACAAGAGCATTGCTTAACATGAGATTAAGATCAGCTAGCACAAAGAGCATTTCAAATCCCTTCCCACTGACATATCTTTGCGTCTGTCCAGGAGTTATTGTTGTGGTCCCAGAGTTGAACATCAATGCTGAGATTTTTCTATTTTGGTTGGAACATGTAATATAAGAGAAACATAACTAAATAATTTGGGGACACAATAAACAGACATACCTTATCGTAAGTCACTTATTTTTTTTAAGTTTTACTGCCCTACTTTTGGGTTGTCTTTGTTGAGACATCCGGTCTTCATGGCGATGGTGGCTGCCCTGGAGTCTGACCCATAGCAACCCGATGTCGTATGGAAGGAAACGCTGCCTGGTCCTGCACCACCCTCACCATAGTTCCTGTGTTTAAACCCACCGTCGCACCCCAGTGTCAATCCTTCTTGTTGAGGGACTTCCCCTTTGTCACTGCCCCTCTGTGTTACGAAGCGTGATGTCCACCTCCGCAGACTGGTCTCTCCTGATTTGTGGTGTCCTGACTGGTCTCTCCTGATTTGTGGTGTCCTGAGGTTAACAGGGAGAGAGTTGCTGTGTCATAGAGACACACAGCACAGCCACTGGGATGAGGGAGAGGCATTGGCTACCCCTTGGGCGAGGGACACACTGGGATGGGATTTCAGTGCGCATTTCCACCTCGTTCAAGTCATTTACTCAGGTTATAATCAATAAGCAACGTGACCTGTTTAAAGAGAACTGAGCACTGCATGGTGATCTGATAGACTAAAGCTGCATCGAAGCTTTACACAACCGAAATTCTCACGCCAGCGGCTGTTTCACGGTCTTAAATACTTGAAGTATTTCCTTTAAGGCTCTCTCAGTGTCCTGTGATGGTACCGTCAGTGGTGGGAAAATCCACCTACACATAAAGTACTGTGTTTGAATTCGCATCACAAGGCTACTACAAATCCGAACTTGACTGTGGGCGTGGCAGCTGCTCTCACACGCCAACTTCAGAGGGAACTTCTGTCACGTGAAAGAGATCGAGAACCAATGAAATCAGAGCCGCAGTGTCCGCTCTCCTCCTTAATTCCAGTATGGTCCGAAAGAGCCTTCACCTTTATGGCGGGTGCTGAAAAATTACCTGCTTCTGAAAAAAGTCCACTGCAGCACCCCGAAATGAAGCTGCAGGCAGTTTCCTGGACAGCACCCCAGATTCAACATGGCAGTTGGAAGGTTTGATGGATATAGTGGGATATGTCAACCACCCTACACATGTGTGGGTACAAAACGTTAAATACATGTTTAATTATGCATGTAGTCATAGACAAGTGATTATAGAGCTTTGTGTGTAATTATGTCTAGGTAAATATGTAGATTGCTGCTTGGGGTCACTATCAAGCTTTATTAGCATTTTGAAAGATGGGCCTTTCTCATAAAACAGGTGTGTTATGTCTTTAGCACTTTAGAGCAATAACTGAACGGTTGTGAAAGGAGAGAATAGTGGTCCACCTTCAGCTGTATTAAAGATACACTTCTCCCTATGTGGGGGCACGCACATGAGAGCGTCTGTTGCATCCTGGTTGTTTTTATGTGTGTGTGTGCGGTTCAGCGGAAGCCTGTGCAGCGTGTTGCAAAGAGCACAAGTGAGAACAAGACACCCTCCTGGAGGCCACAGGGCGTCAGTGATTGTGAGACGGATCGGCCCCGCCCCCCTTCACCTGACCTAACTGACAGCAGTTTCCTGTCGGCACCACAATCTGGAAAGTGATATCACTAATTTTGTATGTGTTTTATGATGTTCACATGAGAGAGCATGCATGTAAGCATGGTCAACTGCAGATAACTCCAGGAATATAGTAATTATTCTAATTCTGTGCTCCATTATGCACGCAGCCATTTCCAGGCGTGTTCTCACTTGTCCTCAGAACCCCTCTGAGTTCTCCCAGCTGCTGATGCAGGGAGGGAGCAAGAATGAGCTGTTCAGAGCCCTTGCTTTGAAGGTCCTCAAGCCAGGGACCTGATCTTGAGACTTGTTTGCTGCCATACATCTGACCTCTTGGCTAATATGTGCACATTTTAGTAGGTAATTCAGGGCCAAGTCTATTCTCTCCAAGGAGCTGTTGGGTGTACGGGTGTAAAGTAACCAAGTCCCTGAGGGTCCTGAAAATAGACTTCTGACTTGAGGGAGAGGGCTTAGCACTTCATTAGACTTGATTGGAAAACATACGTAAGGGTCAGCAGACAGATCTGGATCTATCGGGGTTTTTTGTTTGTTTGTTTTTCTTGTTTTCTGTTTTTGTTTTTCTTTTGCCCTATGTCTATCTATATGAGATAGGCAGGACAAACAATCCCAAGAAGAAAACAATGGGACCGGTGGTTCCAGGGGGACATGTGAGAGGAGGGGGAGTGGGGAGCCAACAGACTCAGGGATGAGGGAATAGCAGGAGATCTAAAATTGATGGCAAGAAGAGTGTATAATGCCTGGTGGGGTTTGATCAAGTGCATTGTATCTGAGGAGAATTACTGAGAGCCGAATGGAAGGTGAGCATGATAGTGAGGTAGGAGGAAGGTGAAAGGAAACAGAGGAAAGAAATAGGAGGCAAACGCTATTTCTAGTGGTGTAGTTATAATAGGCATGTATATATGTAAATATGTTAATCTGTAAGGGGAGGGATGTAGGTCAATGTACATACATTTATATGTTAGGTATTCAGAGAGCAGACAGACACTGGGCCGCTACTCAAGGCCTCCTGTAACACGAGAACACTTTGTTCTGATAACCTGGCTCTCTTTGACGCTCACCTTCCCGACATGATAGGTGAAGACGAAATGGGTGCATAAGCAAATATGGTGAAGAGAGCGGATGGTACCCAGCTATCAAAAGATATGCTGTCTGGGGTCTTCAAGGCTTGAAGCAGCCATCCAGCAGGGAAGCAAATAAGCCCACATGGAAGAAGCACACCAGCCTGTGTGATCATGAGGTGTTGACGGGATCAGATATCAGGTTTCAAAAGATCTAAAACAAATAACTATAATGATGTTAATGAGGGGGTTTGGAGTGGAGACAATTGGATTTTCCCCCCACAGAAGAGTTATAAGGAAGGGATGATTCAATCAGGGTGCAGTATAGTGCTGACGAAACACACATCATTCCTCTAGTTCCTGAATGCTTCTTCTCCCTCCCTTGCCCCCGCCACTACCATGACCCAGTTCTACCTTACAAATCTGGCTAGACTGGAGAACACACATTGGTACAGATAAGAGCTCGTGACACATGGAATTCTGGACAGATAAACCCCTTAAGTAGCAATATCATGAGGGTAGGGAGATTGTTGGGGAGGGGAAGGGGAAGAAAAGGGGAACCCATCACAAGGTTGGATGTATAGCCCACCCTTCCCGAATGGGGACAAATAACGGAAATGTGGGTGAAGGGAGACAACAGGCAATGTAAGATATGAAATAATAAGAGCAACATATAGTTGATCAAGGATTCAAACAAGGCTGGAAGGGTGGGGGAAGGAGGGGAAAAAAGAGAAGCTTATACCAAGGGCTCAAGTAGAAAATGTTTTGTAAAGGATGATGGCAACATATGTACAAATATACTTGAGACAACTGATGTATGGAATGTTAAAAGAGCTGCAAGAGCCCCCAGTAGAATGATTTTTTTTTAAAAGGAGTTGCTAGACAAGCATGATTAGACACAGGGTGTTCATCACCATTTACAAGTGAGGGCTCCTCACTGGACAGTGTATCTTGTCACGTATTTTGTTGTTTCCTAGATTCCTGTGCTCAGAGTTGGTAGCGGCGGTTGTTAAATGAGTGCCACCTGCTTGTGATAGTTGTTTTTGATGTTGTTATTGGCACAGGAAGCTTAAAAGCTTTTAAAATTTCTATTGTACTTAGTCTATACTTTATTGATAGGTGTGTTGTGTTAGGCTGGGTTCTCCAGAGAAGGCAAACCAGTGACCCTTGTATGTGTAGGCAGACAGAAAGAGATTTATATCAAGAAATGACTCACAGTTGTACAAGTGGTAAATCCAGTCCCATTCAATTCTGTAGGTCAGGTGTAAGCTGGGGGCTTCTCCTGACTCATATGGCCACAGGGGCTGACAAACAGGAAGTCGGAAGTCCACAGACTGGTGGATATAGAGCTGAATGAAGCCAACACTGGCCAAATGAACCCAAGGTCCGAAGTCTGCTGATGGCTCCTGGGATTGGCAGACGATATAACGGGAGGCCAATGAATCAGATGCAGGATCCAGATCCACAGTAGTCGTGAGCTAGCTAGCTTTGACACACTGTCCATCTACATTAAGAGTAGGCCACACCCTCAATGAAACATGCCTCCGTTGTATCAAGGCTGTGATGAGATTTAAGGAGGTGGTACACCCCTTATTCACCCCACAACTGCTCGACTGCTTCATAAACCATCCCACTGGGGAGTGGACCACACTATGTTAGGTCATATCATGGGAGGATCCTGGTCCACCCAAACTGATATAAAACTGAGCTCTCTCCTACTCCGTCGACGAGGTGGATTGACACGGTGGCTGCAACAATGGGCTCAGGCCTAGAAACAGTTGTGAGGATGGCGCAGGACTGTGCGGTGTTTTCCTCTGTTGAGCATAAGGTTGCTATGGGTCAAAGCCGAATCAATGGCACCTAACAACAGCAATGTCATAGGTGCGGATATGTTTTGTGGTCATTTAGAATGGGTTTTCATTCATTCTAACAAAGCAAGCCATGTCACTAAACTCAATAAAGCAATTAGAAATAACACATAAAAATGATTGTGAAAAATGCTTTCTTTTTTATGGATTCTGGTGCAAAATAGGTATCCCCGACTTCCACTGCCTGAGTCTCTCCCCATCTCTAAACCTTTGAGGCAGGTGGGACGTTTTACAAACAAGAAGACGAAGACCTAAATTGGATATCTACTGAGCTGCGGATCTGGGACTCGAGCTCAGATTTCCTCCCAGATGCCTCGCCTGGTGTCTGTTGGCAGCCTCCCCGATGCTCCAATCTTTTAATAAGTCATTTTGGGTCATCCTTTTGACGTCTACAATGTATAGAACCTTTCCTAATAAGAAGAAAACTTTCAGACTCGTGGAGCATTTTGAAACTGTCTGCCTCCGTGACCCATATCCACTCTCAATTCCTGGCCCCTCCCGTGCTGTGGAATTTCACAGCAGTTGTCCAGGATTATGCTTTTGTCTAAGCAGTAGAAAACTTTTCCCAGCTTGCCTAAGGAATCCTGCAGTTATTCGTTTCAAAGGGTCACAGCTCTTCTGGTTAAACTCAGTAAAAAAATTGGGCATCAAATGGTCATACTGATTCGTTCTTTTTAGTTGGACATGAAATGGAAAATAATGCCACACGCTGTGTCTTAAGAGGCAACCCTGAGTCTGGTTAGGCATAAGGAGAATGGATTAGGGATTGCCTTGCTTTAGGCGAGCCGACCCTGTCAGTTTTCAGGACTGAGCTTCGGGCATTCAGGATATAAATTGGATCCCTTATTATCTCTTAAGGAGCTGTGGCAACACAGTGGTTAAACGCTTGGATGCTTAGCCAGGTGAGTGGTTCAAACCCACCACGTGCTCGGTAGGAGAAAGATGTAGCAGTCTACTGACTATGGTTACAGCCTCGCAAGGGCTGTGTTCTTCGTTGCTGTGGGTCAAAATCAACTCGATGGCGTTGGGCTCTTAACTTTTCTTTCTTTCCTCCTCAGCCGCTCACAGCTGAGTTTCACTACTACTACATCCTGCAGCTGTCCTTCTACTGGTCTTTGGCGATTTCCCAGTTCACTGATATCAAACGAAAGGTAAGAGTGGTCATGTCATAAACCTTGAGTGGTGGCTAGTATGTGTCTTGGTGGGTTTGGGTGGGTGGGCGTTGAGACTCGGAGGCACCGACAGCGCCCTCTGTCTGCAGAGCACTCGCTCTGCACTACTTTCTACATTATTACAGAGACTTGGATTGTTGCTTGGGCTGCTTTATATGTGGTTCTCATGGTTTCTTCCCTTCTACCACACAAACAAACAAACAAACAAACAAACAAAAAAGTGTTACCTCCTCCACAGGTATAAAAATGTAGCAATGAATCCCGATAGTCATAATTTTCTCTCAGTCTGATCCAAAGCCCTTCTGTTCTAAAAACGAAATTAAGAAGGAGAAAAATTATTGGTAGCTCATGGAGGGAGAGTAAAATCTAAGTATGCCAGACCTACTGAATGAAATTTCTCCGAGTTTAAGGATTATCTAGGGTCAAAATAGGCCATGAAAAATGCAATAGTCTTTTAAAAAGCAAACAAACAAAAACCTCTGTTCTTTCACATCCCCCACTTCATTGACTCAACTCTAGTGGAGAGCGTGCAGTTCAGCTCCTGTTCTACCAGCTTCTCGGCAGAAATGGCATTTTTTGACTATTCCCTGCTCTTTTTGCTTCCATAGTGCTGTTTTCTGCGATTCCTCCACTTGGATCACTCCTTCAAAGCTGTCTGTGCTGGCCAGCATGTCAGCACCGCCCGCGTCCTCTATATGTACCAGGGTCAGGGCCAACATGTCAGCACTGCATCCTCTATATGTACCAGGGTCAGGGCCAGCATGTCAGCACCGCGTCCTCTATATGTACCAAGGTCAGGGCCAACATGTCAGCACCGCGTCCTCTATATGTACCAGGGTCAGGGC